GGGGAGAGGGGCAAAGGGAAAAAGAGAAAATTGTCTGCTCTTATTATTGGAATCTTTGCCCTAATTTTATATATACTTATTTTCTTGATAGGCCTTTGGCCATCTTCTTTTTCACATGTGCCCAAATAAAGGACAATGTATTCTCCCACATTTTTCCATCTAAAAAGAGTCTTCTTAAAGTCCTTGCAGGGGCACCTGGGTGGCTCAGTTGGTTAAGCCTCTGACTTCAGCTCAGGTCATGATCTTGCGGTTCCTGTGAGCTTACAGCTCACAGCCTGGAGCCTGCCTTGAATTCTGGGTCTCCCTCTCTGGCCCTCCCCTGCTCGTGCTCTATCTTGCTCTCTTTCAAAATAATAAATATAAAAAAAAATTTAAAAATAAAAAAATAAAGTCTTTGCAGAGTCTTTCAAATGAAGGAAGTGTTCTTTCTCATATTTTTTAATTTTGAAAATAAATACTATTTGGGAAAGATGCATTAGCCTGAAATGACCTCAGTCAATACCAGTCTGGGATGATTATATAGAGAACACCTGACCAAAAGGCTGGAAAAGAGACAACTCAAAGTGCCTCTAGGGTTTAGTCTTAGGGGTATGACCCCCAACTTCAAGTTTTAGATGTCTTTGTCAACAAGCCCTCTAAGTATCCCTTAAAAGAGCAATTTAGAAATTGTCATTGTAGAGACATGAATATTTATCTAAAGAACAAATGTAAAAATCAGCTTTTCCAAATGATTTTGTTTTTTGGTGTTTGGTGTGGGTTTTTGTTTTTTGTTTTTTTAGTTTTTTAAATTTTTATTTATTTTGAGAGAGACAGAGAGTGTGAACAGGGGAGGGAGAGAGAATACCAAGCAGACCCCACACTGTCAGTGCAGAGCACAACACAGGGCTCGAACTCACAAACTGTGAGACCATGACCTGAGCCAAAGTCAGATGCTTAACCAACTGAGCCACCCAGGGACCCCCAATTGCTTTTGTAAATGGGTACTTGTGAGTTGGGGAAGAAGTGTTTTGTGATGGCATTAGATGAAAGTAAAGATGGTGTACTTTGGAAACTTAAATCTTTACCGAAATCACCCTGATGGTAATTAAAGCATTGAGGCTGAAGACGCATTTGAAAAGTTTCAATAAAGCTATGTCATAAAATGCGAGTTTTGAGAGAGCAGTGCTCCTAAATTAATATACTATTTTATATAACATCTGCTTTTAAATATCCCTTTGTAGAGGGGTGCCTGGCTGGCTCAGCTGGAAGAGCATATGACTCTGGATCTTAGGGTCATGAGTTCAAGCCCTAGGTTAGGGGCAGAAATATTTTTATAAAATAAATAAATATGCCTTTGTAGAACAAGTTACTAAGTTAATAAATGAGACATTTGACTGTTTCACCTATATCCTTAGATATGATATAGTCAAGTTTACCCCAAAATAATTGTCTTTAAATCTTCTCAATGAAGAAGGAGATTTGCCTTATCTGGAGTTGCCTTATGTTTATGTATGTCAGGTCCTTTGAAAATTTTTTTTCTTTAAATTTTTAAGTAGTCTCTACCTTATAAGTAATCATTTTCATTAGTTTTTGTTTGCTTTTCCATTATGTTTATACAGATGTGTGTGTTGGTATATACACATATATATTCATGTTACCCTCTTTCTTAAAGTTAGCAATACATTACACATTTTCTGCAGGGTTTTTTCCACAAAAACAAAAACAAAACAACAAAAAAACCAGAAGTAACCCCACTGCAGTACACAGAGATATGCCTCATTTCTTTTTACAACCAGGACCCCCCTAGATGGGTATATGGATTATTTCTATTTTTTTGCTATTACAAAGAGAGCCACAATGAATAGCCTCGTGTGTGTACCTTTTTATATTTTTGCCAGTGTAACTTTGGGATAGATTCCCAGCAGGTGGAAGGCTCAGTCAAGGGGTAGATGTCAATGCTATTTTGCTAGAGATTGCCAAATACCTCTCCCTAGAAACCATCTTATTGCATTTCCATTAGCAATGTACGAAAGTACCTACTTTTCTAGAGTCTTGCCAACAGAATATGTTGTTAAGTTTGTGGATTCATGCCCATCTGATAGGTGGGAAATGGTATCTCAGTTTTAATTTGCATTTCTCTATTTTTTGAATGTTAAGGAACAAATTTACAAATACTTTTCCCACCAACACATTATTTTGGGAGAGGCACTCCTTAAGTTCACAATAAAATGTATAAACACTAATGCAACAATAGTGACTTCTGAATACTTCTAAGCAATTACATGTGTCAATACTTTAGGTTTAAAGGTAATTAGCAGGGGCACCTGGGTGGCTCAGTAGGTTAAGTACCCCCTGCTCTTGATTTTGGTTCAGATCATGATCTTGCCATTTTCTGAGTTTGAGCCCTGCGTTGGCCTCTGCATTCTCTGGGAGCCTGCTTTGTATCTCTCTCTCCCTTTCTCTCTGTCCCTCCCCCACTCGTGCTCTCTCTCAAAATAAGTAAGTAAACTTAAAAAAAAATATAAAGGTTGGGGCGCCTGGGTGGCTCAGTTGGTTAAATATCCGACTTCAACTCAGGTCATGATTTCGCTGTCTGTGAGTTCGAGCCCCACACCAGGCTCTGCACTGACAGCTCAGAGCCTGGAGCCTGCTTCAGATTCTGTGTCTCCCTCTCTCTGCCCTTCCCCCGCTCATGGTCTGTCTCTCTCTCTCTCAAAAATAAACAAACATTAATATATATATATATATGTGTGTGTGTATACATATATATATATATATATATATATATAAAAGTAATTAGCAATATTGGATCTCCAATGACCTTTGACATGAATGTGATGCCATCTAGAAGCAGAAAACACACTTTGCATAAAAAACAGAAATTTCACAATACTAGCAGTAAGAACTATAATATTCTGCCAGGCACTATTCTAATACTTTACTTGTATAATTTTACAGATCCTCATAACAATCCTTTGAAGGACTTGCCAGGTGCCACAACAGGAAAGTTCCAGAATCAAGACATGAACTCAGAAGTCTGACATGAGAGCCTGAGCTCCTAACTGCAGAGACTTATTTAATATGATTATGGGAAAGCAGGCTCCGAATTTGCAGTGCTGGCTTAGATAATTGAATATAATTCTTTAAAAAAATTTTTTTGGGGGGTTATTTTTCTTTCAACATTTTATCTTTAAGTAATTTCTACACCCAACATGGGGCTTGAACTCACAACCCCAAGAGTCTCATGCTCCACCAACTCAGCCAGGTTGCCCCTAGAATTTTTTTTTTTTTTTTAAATTTAAGTAGGCTTCATGCCCAGTGTGGCACCCAACATGGGGCTTGAACTCAAGACTGATGCTTACCTGAGCCATTCAGGCGCCCCACCCCTAGAATTCTTTTTGCCCCAGATTATCCTCTGTACAAACATTCTCTATTTCACAACAGTAATATCTTGCAAGTACATGAGTGATAAATATCAGGAAATGCATTTCACTCCAAAATGAAGAGTAAGTGAAAATGTCTAAAAACTCAAATCTTGGAGTGTGAAAAATGGACGGAAAAATTGTCATCATTTAGGCTATATTAAGGGTTGTTTTTCCTATCGTGGAGATGGGCTGGGCCAAACAGCCTGCTGTGAAGATGGAGAAGAGTTCACAATCACTCCCATCTGTGACAGTGAAACACAGGACCACTTGATTTACGCAGAGACCAGCCTCACAACCTTGCCCTTGCCAACAACAGCATGCTATCACAGCAAAATCGGACAAACATATCACAGGGAGCTTGAAAGGGTGGAGAATGAGAGGCTGGAAACCAAAAATTTATCAACTTGAAATACTGAGTCCTTTCAATACCCAGTATTTGAGGACGGTGATCTTTTATTTTTCTCATAATAGATAAACATTGCAATGTATTGTTTTATGAAGCACCCAAAGATGCTTCATATTTTAATAAGAATGTATTTGCATTTTTTAAAGTGGAATAAAATTTTTACTCAGATTCGGAGGCATAGTAAGGTCTCCAAGAATTCACAGAGTTAAGACTGAATGCTGTATGTAACACCATGAAAAATGCTGATTCAAAGAAAAACCACACACACATTCACACACACAATTTTCATGGCCTACTCCTGAGAAAAACTTATAGACAACAGCCTCCTCACCCTTCACCCTCACATCTTCCTACACCATACTCTATTTTCCTCCTTTAGCTTTTCTCGTCTTCCTTCCGAAGCCCAAGCACTGAATGGATTCGGGTACCGGAGGAAAAGGGAGTTTACTCATACACTTTCTCCCACACTCCACCCAAGTCAAGACATGAAGGCAACATCAGGCACAACTCTACCTACCAGAGTAGGCTGCATGTGAAAGTCATTCCAGATGAACAGTTACTTACTGTAATCGGTATCATGAAAATCAATATCTAATCAGTATCATCAAAATCCCTATATCCATCCTATGGACTATCACTCACAGGCTCTGTGACATGAAACCTTCTGGAGCACTCCAACCTTCTTTTTGTTTAACCACACCCTTAAGTAAACCTCAGGGCATAATGTCCTTTATCTGCCCCTGAGACAGGACTAGGACACAAACCCATCCTTTTTATTTTTTTAATATGTATTTATTTTTGAGAGAGAACGAAAGAAAGAGAGCACAAGTGAGGGAGGGACAGAGAGAGGGAGAGAGAGAGAATCCCAAGCAGTGTGCGGCCTGACACTGGGCTTGAACTCATGAACTGTGAGATCACCACCTGAGCTGAAATCAAGAGTTGGACGTTTAACCAACTAAGCCACTCAGGTGCCCTGAAAACACACCTATTCTTAAACATTCTCCTCTTGGCTGGTTCCCCCTTAATAAACCATTTCTTGTCAAGCTGGACTTGTCAGCCTTTTTCTTTAGTTTTTCTTTCGGTCCTCAGATGTCACTTTGCATATACCTTTCATGGAACAGACTCCTTAACCAACATACTGTAGGTTTCCAGAAATTATGCCTTTGGCCGCATGTGGCTTCATCACTTACCAGCCTGGCAACTGAAAGAATGCCCCAGTGAGCCCAAGTGCACTGTTGATGAGATCCAGTTGGAGTTTCTGGACATCTAAGTGCATCTGGTGGGCTTTGTGACCCTGCTGGCCGCGATATCTGTTGAAGGAGGACCAGACACAGATCCTCATACTCCAAAGTCAACCATTTTAAAAATTAAATATGAAAACCAAATTTTACTAGCTTCCAATAGGTGAAACTTCAGGATTTCTCCCTGGTACTATGTATTGTTGGGGTCCGGGAGCCAACAGTCAAGAAATAATTCTTGAGACAACTTTGGTGCCAAAAAGGTGATTTTATTAAAGCATGGGGACAGAACCCACAGGCAGAAAGAGCTGCTGGGGTATTGTGAGGAGTGACTTACTACATCCCGATAATATATAATATATTATATATGATATAATGAAGAGTGACTGACTTTATCTACCTCCCTACCTACCTACCGGAAGGGGGTTAGGGATAGAATAAGTCTCCAAGCAATCAAGACCTTAGTCATGAGACCCTTCAGATGTGTATCAGTGGGCCATATGCTTGCAAGATGATTGTTAACATGTATCTTGGGTTGGGGGTAGAGATAAAGGAAGTTTCCAAAGGGATTTTTATATGTTAAAGACTTACAGGATCCTGGAGGTTGAGCTAAGTTTGCCTTTTGCCTCCAGCAAAGTACTAACATTGAAGCAGTTAAGGAGGACACTGAAGCAGTTCCTCCTGGAGGAAGGTCACTCAGCCTGTCTCAAGTGTTGTACTTGTCACTGGGCTGCAAGTTTTAAAGAAGTTTAATATTTTCTATATTTCTTTTGCCTTTGTTCTCCACCTCACCTCCACATAGTATAGATTTTTCATATATTATGTGTTATCACCAGGCTTAGTATTAATTTACCTAGACTTCAATGAAGACGACGATGATATAATTGCACCTTGGATTTTTCTGTAAGATCACAGTATTCTGGTGCATGGTTTTGAAAATATCTCTGTAAGACAGATAACAGGCAAATAATTTCTCTCCTGGTTTCTGAGTTAGGAAACTTGGAGCCAAGAGTGATAAAGAAGTATTTACCAGGAAAAAAGTGGCCATAAAAGGTTTCCCACTTCAGAAACTTGCACAGTACTTGTAGTGAAAGATCAGGTATGTTACCTTTTGATAAAACACTAAAAAAAAAAAAAAATCTCATCATCTTTGCTACACAGACAATTCAAAGGCTGAAGCTCAAAAGTGTAAATATTTCAGAAGAACTGTGGTAATGAAGTAAAGCAACAGATTTTCTGTGTACAAAAGTGGAAAGATTTAAATTTTTTTCTTACTCCTATTCCAGAGTCAAAGTAAGGAAGTTCCCTTCATTTTTTTTAACCTTATTGATTTATTTTGAGTGAGTGAGTGAGTGAGAGAGAGAGAGAGTAAGAGCAAGCATGAGCAGGGAAGGGACAGAGAGAGAGGATCCCAAGCAGGCTCTACACTGTCAGAACCAAGCCTGATGTGGGGCTCCAACTCATGAACCGTGAGATCATGACCTGAGCTGAAACCAAGTCAGATGCTTAACTGACTGAGCCACCCAGTGCCCCAAGGAAGTGTCCTTCGTACATGCTAAGTCTCAGAGCCTTACCTGGGTTGTTTTTCTTCTTGATGTTTTCCCAGCAGCAGGAGATTTTGTCCAATCCACCACTTACTCCTCTCTTCTAGAAAGTCCCAGAAAAGATCCCGAACCTTCCCGGTTCCAAGTGTAAGCAAGGTGTCCTCCCTGGACACAGCAGTTTTCTGCTTCCTCAAAGCTACAGTGAAACTTGTTAAGCTGATAACAATTATTTTTACCATGTTGCTCTGGGCTATTTAGCTCACTTCCTAGAATGATACCTGTTCTGACATATAACCAAAGACAGATTCTTCCTCTTAAGAACATTTTCTCTGTGAACTATGAGCAACAACAGTGCAGGGGCTCAGCAGCTGCCTGGTCCTTTAAAAATGTTCTTAGTGGGTTAGTCATATTTGTTAGTATTATTCTTTTAGGAATAGGGAATAATTAGTCAAGGAGATAAAAGATGTTTTGTGTGTTTTTAATTTAAGAACCCAGGTGGAGTTCCTATAAGCTGAAAACAAACAGCAAAGATCAATAAAACGACGAGTCTTCATAGGGCACCACCACCTGTGTCTACACAACCAGATACGCTTTTAGCTAATTACTTGCTAAGCCTAAGCTGTAAAGGAGAAGATGATGAATATGTAAGTCAGAGTTGCTAAAAATTGAGAAAAGTATTGTGTGGTTTTTTAAAAGGAAACCATTCTGGCAGACCCCCACGCTGTGTCTAAGTTATTGTATTTTGTTTTTTAAATACATTCAGCCATAAAACCAGGCATAAACTATATGCTAAAGCTCTTACACAACCATGAACGAATGAATACAAATTAATACAAACAGAACTGAAAATTAATGAAATGAAAACTTGCTGAACTAAACGGTTACCTGACATAAAAACTGTACTGGCTTATGACCACACAGGTTCTTTTGATTTGGCACACAAGCTATTTCATGCTGTAGGGAAAAATCAGTTCTCTCACCACTTTATTTAGCTTGCTGAAAAACCTTTGTTCATACAGCATGTCATTTGTTTTGCACCTGTGGCACATCTATCATTTAGTTTAGCCAGTTTTCTTTCTTGGCACCAAAATGTGATAACAAATACAAATAACTGTGGGCACTGACATAGCATGGTAGGTTTCAGGGTTCAGTTGGTTATCCAAATGGCCTAAATGCTTATACTACCTTTAAAAATCACTATGGAAAGATACTACTATCAACAATTCTCTTAAGTGTATACTCCAAGAATACACCTCCCTCAGTCTGAAAAACACTGCAGTAATCAAAAGATAAATATGGTATGGTCCCTACTTTCAGAACGTGTACAGTCTAGTTAGGGGAAAAAAGATATAACAATTGTAGTTCAAATAAAGACAGTGTCACTGGACAGGTACAGCATATATCTATCTATAAAAGTTCAGATGAGAAAGAAATTATTTCCAGCACGTGGCCATATTGAGATAGAAGAAACGGTCATACCGGGAGAAGCCAATGTGATTTAGTAAATGCATAGAAGAGGAAAGTATTTATAAAGAGAAATAATTCTGGGGGTGGGGCAGGGTGGGCACTTGTGGAGACAGCAGTGGGAAGGGAAACTAGAAAACTGAAAAGTCTTGAAATGGCAGGAAAAAGAGTGTCCAATTAATTTGGAAGGCTTCTGACTAGGAGTCCACTAAGTCTTCGCTGCAATGGAATCGTTCTGGGTGTTACAAGACTTTGTAACAAAGTGTTGATTTCCCAACACTTTCATTAATATACATACTTACGCACATACATACGTTTAAGGCATTTTTAAGTGAAACCTGAGGCTGATGGAAACTTCTCTGAGGTCAACTCCACAGTGCCGTAATTCATTCCAACCTTTTTTTCAGTGCCTGATATATGGTCTCAATACCTGCTTTACCTAGAGCGCAAGCATATCACATGTTCAACTTAAATGATCAAGATATTGGTGACAGTGTTGCTTAGAACTGAAGCTCTACCTATGCGCATTCTCTCGCTGAGGTCGCAGAGCCGCAGAACAGGTACACACACCACCCCAAGCCGAGTGTATCGCAACACAGCTTAGCGCGGCGCCCACACCTGGACTGCGGCGGGCGGAAGGAGCGTGACTGCCGTGATTGCGCGCGCGAGCACCAGCGTCTAGCCACACCTCCGGGGCGGAGCGAGGCCTTTTCGGCCGCTGGGAGGCCCGCCTCACCCTCCTGTCTGGCGATTGGTGAGGTGGCAGCTGCAGGGGCGGTGATTGGAGGGCTCACCACCATCTCTTCCAATGGAAATAAGCCAGAGGCGGGCCCAGTGGCGGAAGGAGCATGGCGTGGAGACTGCTGAAAGTGAGTTCAGAAAGCGGGCTCTGCGGCAGCAGAGCCAGGAGTTGGGCGAGGAGTGGGGCTAAAGCAGTTGGAGGGCTAACCTGGGGCGAAGTGCGGTTCCAAGATCGTGGGCCCAGTTTGCACGTCTGTGCGTGTCTGGAGGCACACGTGCGTGTGCATTTACACGTGTGCTTGGCCAGTGTGCATAAGGGCACGTTCCTGTCTGGGTAGATGCAGGTGTGTCAGCGCACGTGGGCCAAACGTTTATTGAGCCTGGCACACGGGCGTTTAGTGAACACATGACCGCATAACATTGTGTGCAGGATCCATCGTGCAGTGAAGTTACACTAAAACATGGCCCCAGCCCTTCTAGATGAAATTTTAGGGCGGGGGCTTATGTAACTGTGTTCAGATACTTGTTGACATTAAGGAGCGTTCCTACAATCCGCTGGAGACTGGAAGCAAGACAATAAATACTTGTTCTGTATCGACAACTGGGAGTGACTTTCAAAAGGCAAATCTGATCATGCCACCAAGTTGTTGAGGGAGAACCCGAATCTTCATTTTGGCCAACGTCTCTGTTTATCTCCCCAGCTTCTTTTTAAGCCGTGCTTTGCCTTGTTCCTTGGTTCCAGACAAACCTTTCCCCTTCCCCCATTTCTTGGGTGCATCTCCTTACCCTGTGCCACTGTGAGCGCCTTTACACTTTTTCATACCCTTCCACCGCGTCCTAGTTAACTCCTATTTATCTTTTGGACATCAGCTTTAAGTCACTTCCTCAAAGAAGCCTTCCTCTACCTCTGAGATTGGGTTGGGGTGTGTTATTACCGTATGTTAATTCATAGCTATTGGCAGTTACATATTTGCGTGATCATTGATTAATGACTGTTTCTTCATAAGATTGTCGTCTCTTTGAGGGCGGAGACTGTTTCGCCCACCTCTGAGTGCTCGATTACTGTTGGGCAGATGACTGACTGACTGACTGACTGATGACTCATCATCTGGCAGTGATAACTATGAACCACTTTTCAAGTAGGATTCTTTGTTTTTGAGAGAAAGAGAGTGGGTGAGGGGCAGAGAGGCGGAGAGAGAGAAGCCGAAGCAGGGGCTCCATCCCACAAACAGTAAGCTCATGACTTGAACCCAAATCAAGGGTTGGATGCTCAACTGACTGAACCACCCAGGTGCCCAAAACTAGATTAGTGATCTTGACTCAATAAGACCTGATGCTCCTTAAAAAAAATATTTTGCAACTGCTTTTATTATCCTGAAGTGGAATTTATGTATAATGTAATCCATCTACGTATAATTTTAAAAGATTAGCATAATGTCCTAACTGGAATATAAAGGAGACATTAAAGGAATTCATAATAAAATAACATGTATTTTGGTATGTAAATGTTGGGCATGACTCACTTAGTGAGAGACTCAGGTGTTTAAGCCTCTATTTGGAAATTCCAGCGCCTCAGGTATGTTTTCTTGTCAAAACCCAAACAAAGCATTATACCATTCCTGAGATCTCTGAAACGGTGAACAAGGCTTAGTAACGTTCTGTGCAACACAGTGCAGTCATCTCTCAATTTATGATGGAACTGCATTCCTGGAAAAGTCAATGCATATGAAAACTGTGCATGACATAGTTGGTGTTTATGTGGTGGAATACAGGCTCAAATAATATGAATAGATTTTTTTACATACTGAATGTCAGTAGTATCTCCAAAAGTCATGCAGGACAGGGACACTTCATCTGTCAGACAGCCTAAAACAGTGCAGGTGTCTACCTTTACAGATTTCTGCCCACTTCAATCTATTAGCATTCCTCCAAAATGCCTACCACATGTCCCCCAGGGGGCAGTACTGCCTCTTTTGAAGCCTCTGGCCTAGAGTCCTTCAAGGCCAGACAAGTATGGGTCAGCAGAAGTGTGGATACAGCCTCTGAAAGTAGAGACCAATGTGTGAGCAAGACTAGAAATGAAGGAGACCAGTGTTTGCAGAAGGCCAGGGATATCGCTTCATATCACATGTCATTATGTCCTGTGTGCCTGGGTGTATAGGGCTCAGAGAAGTTACTGCGGTCTGGCCCCATTGGGCCTTTTTCTTTTTTTCCCCCTCAGAAGCGGGCCCAGGATGCTGTGGTCATCCTGGGGGGCGGAGGACTTCTCTTCACTTCCTACCTGACGGCCATGGGGGATGAACATTTCTATGCTGAACATTTGATGCCAGCTCTGCAGAGGCTGCTGGACCCGGAGTCAGCCCACAGGCTGGCCATTCATTTCACCTCCCTGGGGCTCCTTCCTCGTGCCACATTTCAAGACTCTGACATGCTGGTAGGTGCTCTTGGAACACCTTCTGATTAACAAGCTCCACAGGCACTTCTGACACAGACGTGCTGGGGCCTGCACTTTGAGAAACACCAGGATAGCCTGGCTTTGTTTCCTTCTCCCTAGGAAGTGAGAGTCCTGGGCCATAAATTCCGAAATCCAGTTGGAATTGCTGCAGGATTTGATAAGCATGGGGAAGCTGTGGATGGACTTTACAAGATGGGCTTTGGTTTTGTAGAGATTGGCAGTGTTACTCCAAAACCTCAGGAAGGAAACCCCAGACCCAGAGTCTTCCGCCTCCCAGAGGACCAAGCTGTCATTAACAGGTGTGTGAATGGACCAGAGGTCACAGGGGATGCTTTCTTCCCAGGAGGGCACGCAGCGATGGGAGATCTGCCTGTTTTTTCTGTCATACAGTGTGGACGTTTTTCTGCTATTGGGAATGTTCGAGAACCATGTTGAGCATCTCCTGTGTGGAGGCATAAAAGCAGATTTTATTATTCTAGTTTAACACATATACATCCCAGGGGCTCAGACAGCTACATGACTTATCTCTAATCATGAGATCATAAGTGGGAGATCTGGGGTTGAGATTAATACATTTGACTTCAGAGTTTGTGCTTTTTTCACATTGTTACTCCAGTGCTCTTGCCCAGCACTGTCCAGCAGAAATATGATGTGTAATTTAAAATATTCAGGTATGTAATTTAAAATATTCAGCTAGTCACAATAAAATAGTAAAGAGAAATGGGTGAAATTCACTTCAATAATATATTCTATTTAATTATTATTTATAATTATATCTAATTATAAATACTTAACATGTTCTGAATGTCATTTTAACACATAATCAAAATAAAAATGATTAATTAACTATTTACCATCTTTGGTAGCAAGTCTTCTAAATCCAGTGTGCATTTGACTTAAAGCGCTCTCAGGGTGTACTGGCCACATTTCAAGTGCTCAGGGGCACATGTGGCTACAAGTTCTTGAACTGGATGGTGAAGCCCTACCCTTTAGTAAACTGGAAATTTTAATAATCCATATGGATAGCTGCTTTTAATAAGAGAGATCCTTCTAGATTGTGTAAAGCCCTTCTCTTTGCAATCCCTAGGCAGTATTCACTATAGCAAACCCAGAAAAAGAAAAAGTGTCTGCTTTTTGGTAACAGAATTTTGAGAGTCTCCTTGAAAGAGTTTAACAGACATCTTTGGGACCATTGATGGCCTTCTGGAAGATGAACCTGTGGGAGTTTTAGGTGGCCGCACTTCCTGCTTTATTGTACTTATTTCAGGGAAATTTTCCAGCATTAGAGATGAAGTTATTGAGCTTTCTGTTGCACTGCAGGCTGGGATCGGTATCTTCAGAATTTCCAGGCAAAATATACTTGTTGATGATTCGGCTGCCACAAGTAACTGCAGGTACCAGGACAACGGTACTGGGCAGAATCCATAAACGAGAAGTGGTTGAGGGAGGAGAGCCTGTGTGTTCGGCCTCCTTGCTGTGGGTGGCTTGGAGTGGGTGCCCAGTAAGCGCCTGCCAAGTGAATCGAGCAATTTATTCATGAAGTAAACAAAACAGGTGCTCCTCTATCTGTTCAGTGTTTTTGGCTGCAAGTAACAAAGTGGCTTAAACAATAGGCATTTGTTATTATTTCTTCTCTGGGAGGGAGCTTGTGGAGCACAGGCAGGAGGAGGAAAGATGGGTTGTCAGGGAGGCCCCGCTGCAGGGGAGGGGTACATAAGTGAGGAGGAGTGTGGGTTGGATTCAGACAGGTCGGGGGACAGCTACCTGGCGAGTCTGGGCTATTTCCAGTGCTAGGTACTTGAGCAACTTGTTTGCAAATTTAAATCTTTCCCTCTGTGTTTGATGGTGTTCTGGCAAGTTTTCTAGGAATTCCAGGGGTGTTTAAACCTTGAAAGTCTAAGAACTGACTCTGATTTTTTTTTTTCTTTCCTGTTTTTAAAAGTCCAAAGTATAGTAGAAGTGGCCATGAAACCATCTCTCCAAAGTGTCTGCCTTATGGCCGAGGGCTCTAACCTCATCCCCTCCCCACCTGCTTATATGTTACAGATATGGATTTAACAGTCACGGACTCTCGGTGGTGGAACACAGGTTGCGGGCCAGACAGGAGAAGCAGGCCAGGCTCACAGAAGGTAAAGTGGGGTTGTGCTAATGGGCCTTTCTCCATTTGTTGTGAGGAAACCTGTGGGAGAAAGGTCAGGAATTCTTAATGAAGTAAATGTGACTGAACAATAGGGAAAAAAATACTATGGAACTCGGGACTTTTCCTGCCTTTATCACAGTCAGCAAGATTGTAACTGAATTTCATAATTTAGTAAAGACTTGCTTAGTTTCTCCCTCGTTATATAACCTGTGTTGTGTCATAACTGGGGCTGCTTGGAAGTGAGCAAAGCAGTCCCGCTGTGGTCACGTGGGTAGTTGAGATGTGAGCAGAACTTGAACTCCATCTTCCTCGGTCTTCCTATGATGTCCTTTTGTGCGTTATGTAAACAATACATGTTAATTATAGAAGCATTAGTAAATACAGAGAAGCATCAAGAAGAAAAGTGAAATTAATCATACCCCTCCCTACTCGGGGAGAATTAATCCTGACTTTTGGGAAAATATCCCTCATGACTTGTTCAGAAAACACCATGCATGTTGTAAGGCTGCCTTCAGAGATGCCGATGTCTGTTCTCTGGGGCTCTGCTCTCCCTCCAGATCCATGTAGTGCCTATAGCTCTGTTTTGTCCTCACCACCCCTTCCTAGGTGTCTTCTGAGATTGTGTGGGGCTGTGGCCATTTTCCTCTAGAACTCTTTCCAGGAATTTAAGTGTCATCAAATGTCCTGGTAGTGAGATAAGAAAAACCTATGGACATCGGATTCACTTCAGGAAGTAAGGTTGAAAGGGCCGAGGCAGTCGGCAATCTCTGATTTTAGGAGAAGGAAGTTACCTTGTTTGGAAATCCCAAGCTTTGGTAGGAGCAGACCCTGCTATACTACAGACCTTTCCATTTGGGGAACTTTGAAGCTTATAATATGACCTCCATAGCTTGTGATACTCTCCTGCCTTCTTGCTTCCCTTTCTTCTTTTCATTGTCCCCAGTGCGAAGCTTTAGCCCCTTTTCTTCCTTGCCCCTCCCTCACCCCTACTCCAGCACTAACACTGATTGAAGCAGAATCTTCCAGCAGATTTGTTCATGTTTTCCAGCATCTAGAAGCCTTGACGACAGCTTATTGCTAGCATAAGTTGACAGAAGCTATGGTGCCTTTTGAAGATAGAGTAATTCAGAAATTTCTGTCTAACTTCAGAGTCTTGGCCCTTTGGGGGCTGATGGAAGGTCCCTTAGCTGCATGAAAGTAAGGCTCCCTTTCAAGCCAGCTCATCGGGGCAAAGAAGAATCAGCTTACAAATGGCTTGGCTTGATGGAGGCTGGACTTGGGAAGCTTGGAGGCCTTGTGCAGCTTTTGTCTAATTGGATGCTACCTACCCCCCCACCCCCACCCCCGCCGCCCCCAAGGGAATCTCATTTACTTTCAAGCTGGTGATTAAAAGGGTGACTAGTTTAGGGAATGAGAAGGTGGTTAGCAACACTAGATGTTGGTCTTTGATCCCAGTGACCTGACACAGCTTTTGGGAGCTCACTTGGTGCTCCAGGTCTTTTCCCAACTATTGCACGGTAAAAGCAGCTGGCACCACTGACCTACCAGTGACCTTTGCAGATAAGGTGGTGTCTTAGAAGCCAAGTACAGACAACCTCTGGCTTTCAGGCACAGCATGTTTCTAAAATGTATTTTTCTAACAGTCCAAAATGCAAGTCAATAATTCCATGGATTTTTAAATTGGGTGGCATAATACTTATCATGCAAACTGAGACATTTTGGGGAGTGAAGGGTGCAGGCATTAATAATTATGCCCAGGCTACAGGAGCAATGAGGGCTGTTCTGGGAGCACTGGGACTTGTGCTCACTCTAGTTATGAGCTGGAGCCCCTTCTCAGAAAACTGAAATTCCAAGTTCTAAAAGATTTATGCCTCTATATTTTAGGCATGGTTAGTGGAAAACATTTTCCAGTCTTGTATACATACTCTTTAATTTTGCCTTTTCTTCCCAACTGCACACCCTGTCACTCAAGTCCAGCAGACAGCCCTTGAGAATAAACAGCTGTCCCTTAACATGCCTGTTGATTTCTGACTGTCCTCATTACATTTATGAGCCCTTACTTTTTATCGCTAGCATTTGCACTCCTAATTTCTCCATTTTCCATTAAATTTTAAAAAAGGAAAAGAACACAGTGCAGTAAAACATCCTAGTAGTTGCCCAAACATGCTGCGCAAAGATGGTGACCTCTTCTTGGTCAGCAAGACCAAGGCGGCAACACCGTGCAGCTTCCATGGTGTTTGCCGGCTGGTCCGGGAAGTTCACACAAAGAGGTGGAGGTGTACGGGGCTCTTCGTGGGCTGTTTAGTCAAGGACATCTTCAAAATGTTGCACAGGGAATGGTGTTTAGGAACAAAATCTTGACAAGCCATCTTTACAGGGGGGCTACCACTGGGAATAAACCTGGGGAAGAATAAGACCTCCGTGGACGCTGCTGCGGACTACGTGGAGGGGGTTCGAGTCCTGGGTCCCTTGGCCGACTACCTGGTAGTGAACGTGTCCAGTCCGAACACCACTGGGCTACGGAGCCTTCAGGGAAAGGCTGAGCTGCGCCACCTGCTGACCAAGGTAGGAAATTACATCTCCAGGCTCCGTTCCACCAGCCTGTCCTACCCACTTCTTTCCAGTTGATTCTTCAGGAAAAAGCTTCAATGTCATTATCAAGGAGTTGTCCTTAGCACCTGGACAAGATAGGACCCCTTGCTATACCTATAATCCCGTCATAACACTGATTATGCTTAACAGTAATTAATGGCTTGGTTACCTGTCCCTGTGTTAAACCATAAACCCTGTGAGAGCAGGGACTGTCTCTCTCTGTCCCTAGCATCGAGCACACTGACTGAATAAATTGGATGACTCTTCTTTTTTTTTAAGTAGGCTCCATGCCCAATGTGGGGCTTGAACTCACGACCCTGAGATCAAGATTTACATGAAACAGCGAGGCACCCCTGGATGAGTCTTTATCAAACAGTACTTGTGACAGTATTTTCTTCTTATCTCTTTTAGAAAAAAAAGTCTCAATAAGCCTTAATATATTAGCCAATACCAGTGACAACATTAGGGACTTAATCTTAGGGATCCCTTTGTTCAGGAGAATCAGATCTGTGGGATGGGTCTTTGGCATAACTGAGAGCTGTATTTTCTGAGAAGGAGAAGTCGCTGGTGCTTCAGCGTGAGAACATGCTGATCTGTGGCTACGGCCTCCAGGGTCCCCGTCTCTGGCCGTGTGTTGTTCTAGGTGCTGCAGGAGAGGGACGCCCTGCAGGGAGCGCGCAAACCGGCTGTGCTGGTGAAGATCGCACCTGACCTCACAGTCCAGGACAAGGAGGATATTGCCAGTGTGGTGAGAGAGGTAGGAGTCCGGCTAGGCCCTGGGACGCCTCTCACTGCCTGGGAGGGGCGGGGGTGGGTGCCATTTGGCCAGCTGGGCTAGCCTGTGGCTTCCTTTCTGTGGTAGTGAGAGCTGGTTTGATATGTCATGATGTAACTCATCATCTAATGAAAAGCTCAGTTGGTTGAGCATCCAACTCGATTTCAGCTCAGGTCATGATCTCACAGTTTGTGGGTTCAAGCCCCAAATCGGGCTCTGAGCTGACAGTGTGGAGCATGCTTGGGATTCTCTCTCTCTCTTTCTCTCCCTCTCCTCCTCCCCTGCTCACACTCTCTCAAAACAAATAAATAAACTAAAAAAAAAAAAAAAATTAGAGAAGCAAATGTTTGGATGAGTCATTTACTTGTACCCATTCCCTTGTCTCTTTCCTCACATTCATCCAGCAAGAGCTCTAAGGCTTGTGCTTGCATTCTTGGTCAGTCTTGGTCAGACTGTTCTGTCACTCTCTCCAGTCTACCCCAGGCCCCTGTGTTATAGGAGAATGGTGGAAACACGGACCAAATCTGGCAGTCCTGGGTTCAAGTCCTAGTTCCACCATGTACTACCTAGGGGCCTTGGACAAGACTAAAGTGAGTGGTTCTAAGGATTAAATCCTGTCCTTGTGGAACATTACAGGTGATCGATATGTGATGGCTGCTACTGTTATGTTGAGGCTCATTCAGACCCTTTTTCTAGAAGCGTAGTGAGCTCTGGTATAGCTCTTGCTTCCCGGGGCTGTAGTGTGGGCACCTGGCCCGGCTGCTGTCTCAGACCCTCAGGGAAGCTACTCCGACTGCATCAGTGCCACCACTGGAGGGTTCTTTCTCTGTCTCACATTGCAGTTGGGCATCGATGGACTGATCATCACGAACACCACAGTGAGCCGCCCTGCCGGCCTCCAGGGTGCCCTGCGCTCTGAAACAGGAGGGCTGAGTGGGAAGCCCCTCCGGGATTTATCAACTCAGACCATCCGGGAGATGTATGCACTCACCAAAGGCAAGAATTTGGTGCCTGTGTCTTCAGATCTGTGTGTGGCTCAGGCTCTTGGGTTTGATCCGAATCAGTGTTCCCTGAACTGCTGCATTCAGCCAGGGCCGGAGCGGGGGAAGCCAAACTAAGGGTCTCACGTTGCCTGCCCTTCCTCATGATGTTACGTGTGCTTCTTGCAGGCAGAGTCCCCATCATTGGGGTTGGCGGTGTCAGCAGTGGGCAGGATGCCCTGGAGAAGATCCGGGCGGGGGCCTCCCTCGTGCAGCTGTACACGGCCCTCACCTACAGGGGGCCGCCCGTGGTGGGCAGGGTCAAGCGGGAGCTGGAGGCCCTTTTGAAGTGAGTGGGGCCACGTGTGGCTTGACACAGGTGAAGTTAAAGTGGCATCAGTTGAGGATGACTCACAGGGAGGAGGAGATGCTATTTACCTGTCTATTTATTCCTCATTCAGAAAGGATTCAAGAACGCGGGGGGAAAATTACTCTGTTGCTCCTAAAGAGGACAAAGAGGGCCAAGGAATTCAAGATTAATGGTGTTTATTGGCCTGAGGGGTTCTGGCAGCATCCCTGCTCAGTAACATTGTCTTGATGTCAGGGAGCTGTGAATACTTGAAATTGATTCCTTTCCCAGTGTGAAGACCTAGGTGGAAACACCTCTAGGTTCCTGAGTGAAGACGATGTAGAAGGCAGGAGGCACGCCTCTGCGGGAGACAGGCAGGCATGGTTATGGAGCTGACAGCCTAGGTGAATGTGGGCTTCCAGCGAGAGCAGGGCCTGTCCTTCCCTATTTGCCGAAATTGCTTTTCCTCTTTTTTCAGGGAACAGGGCTTTACGAGAATCACAGATGCCATTGGAGCAGACCATCGGAGGTGAGGATGTTTTCAATAAGAAGCCTGATCTGGAATCTCCCCACTAAATGAGACGGGTCTTTGTGGCTGGATTGAGAGAGGAGAGCCACATCCCCCAAATCACGAGAGCCCTTCCTCCAGCCCAACTGTAAACCCAGTCAGGAGCATCACCAGAATCAATATGAGGCTTTCTTTAATCACTTGTCGGACCATGAACTGCATTCATGAGTCTTTTTAAACTTAAATCCCTTTAATATTGCAAGGACATTAAATATTTGAGGGAGGGGCGCCTGGTTGGCGCAGTCGGTTAAGCGTCCGACTTCAGCCAGGTCACGATCTCGCGGTCCGTGAGTTCGAGCCCCGCGTCAGGCTCTGGGCTGATGGCTCGGAGCCTGGAGCCTGTTTCCGATGCTGTGTCTCCCTCTCTCTCTCTGCCCCTCCCCCGTTCATGCTCTGTCTCTCTCTGTCCCAAAAATAAATAAAAACGTTGAGAAAAAAAAAAATTAAAAAAAAATATTTGAGGGAAAAAAATCATAGAAAAAATAAAGCCATTTAAAACCTGGATTTAAGGGTGCTTGGGTGGCTCAGTTGGTTAAGCGTCCGACTTCGGCTCAGGTCATGATCTCAAGGTCTGTGAGTTCGAGCCCCACATCGGGTTCTGTGCTGACAGCTCAGAGCCTGGAGTTTGCTTCCGATTCTGTGTCTCCCTTTCTCTCTGCCCCTCCCCTGTTTGTGCTCTCTCTCTCTCTCAAAAATAAATAATAGGCATTAAAAAAAAAAAAAAAAAGTTTAAAACCTGGATTTAAATCCCAACCCTCAGTGAGGGCCACGGACCTCACATAGATGCTGCAGGGCCTTCTAGGCCTCTGCTGCCTGGGGTCAGCTGTGGGTCCAAGGAGCTTGACTCTGTTTCATTCTGCCTTTACTTTTATTTAAGTTTTTGACTTTACTTGAAAATATTTCAAACACAGATAAAGTTGCAAGAATAGGGCTTGAGGGTGGCCATCCTCTGTCTTCACACTGCCTTCCCTCTGTGAGTCTGGGTCCTCATCTTTTCTTAGAAGGACCCCAGTCATGTTGCATTGGGCCTCATGCCCCGCTGACCTCAATTTAATTTGATGACCTTGGTAAAAACCCTGTCTCCAAATAAGGGCACTTTCTGAAGTTCTAGGGGGTTAGGATTTTAATATGTCAGTTTTGGGGAGACACAATTCAGCCCATCACAGGAAAGTGTGCTTGCTGCACCCCTTCTTTATTATCTGTGGCTTGGGGTGCCATTGGGCAGACAGCTTCTCAAGGTGCTTGAAGACATTAGACAAGATATGAAAGAGGTGTAAAAAGTTGTTAAAAGTAAAAAGAGGTGAAAGAAAGTCGTTAACTGAAGAGAGAGCAGCGCCAGTCTTTTTGATACCGGAAAGCAAATGGGGAAGAGAGGGAAACCTTATCTAGGAAGCGCTGTTGATGTGTGGCATGCCCTCACAGCCAGCAGCTGTGTTCCCATCACCTCAGTACAGATTTTTATTCTAAATTTGATTTCTCGGTAGCTCTGCGAGAGGCATGGAACTATAACAGGGGTAACATGTTTTGTTGCCTCATCATTTAATCTTGGCCTCCGCCTGTCCCTCCTTGTGTTCGCTCATTCTGCCACAAAACCAGCAGCCGGTCTCCTGCTGTCCTTTTCAAAGATCGTTCACCTGTTTTGACTTTTTTTTTTTAACTTTTTAAATTTATTTTTTAAATGTGTATTTATCGAGAGAGAGAGAGAGAGAGAGAATGCCAAATAGGCTCTGTGCTTATCAAGAGTCAGCTGCTTAACTGACTGAGCCACCCAAACGCCCCCCTTTTTTTTCTTTTTAAAAAAATAACCCCCAAATAAAAGTTGTGTACCTCTCTTCCCTCTTAAATAACTCCATTTCCCACAGGTAATCACAGATAACTTTTGTTCTATCTTACTAGATGTTTCCAGATCTTTTTCTTTTTATTATATACAAACACATGTAATCCATAGCTATCTTTTTATGTATCTGCATACTTATGCACAGAAAAAATTTAGGAGAACTGTTTTTTAATACCAAGTGATATGAGAGTAAATTTAAATTTGCTGGTCTGATTCTCCATCCTGAATATTTTTGTGTGTATTTCTTGCAAACGAGTATATTCTGCTTCACAACCACAACACAACCGTCAAAAATCAGGAGATTGGTACTGACATATCGGTTCATCCTCAGGCTGTGTGGCAGGCAGAATTTCTAAAATGCCTTCCCCCTTCCCAATGCCCTGTCCTAATTTCTGGAGCCCAGCAATGTGATGAGATATCCCTCTCGTGACTGTTATGTTACATGGCTTAACATAGGAGCCTCCTTGAAGGTAGGTTATTCAGGTGGGTCCAGTCTGATCACATGAGCCCCTTTAAAAGCAAGTTTTCTCTTTCTAAGAAGCATAAGGGATCAAAGTGTGGTTGCCATTTTGAAGACTGGTTTGGGGGGCATGAGAAGAAAGGTGTTGGCCCCTGGCTAACAGCCAGCAAGGAAATGGATGTCAGGCCTACGGCCACAAAGAGCTGGATTTTGCCAACAACTTGAATGAGCTTGGAAGCAGATTTCTTTCCAAAGTGTCTGGGTGAGAATCCCATCTGTCCAACACCTTGATCCTGGTCTGGTGACACCCTGAGCCTAGAACCCAGCTGAGCCTCAACTCCTGATGCAGAATGGTGCTGACAGTGACTGTGTTTCAAACCACTGGAATTTGTGGACTGTGTTTCACACAAGAGAGAATGAACACAGGCCAGCTTCGTGGTTCACCAGCCGTCTGAATCGTGTCCTTCATTGTAAAAGTATCCAGCTTAGAATGACATGTTGCATTTGGTTGTCATGTCTCTTTAGTCTCCTGTCTGGAAAAGTTCCTGCTAGTCCTTGACACATTTGAAGATGACAGGCCAATTATTGCATAGAATTTCCCTCGTTTGGGTTTGTCTGGTGGTGTGATTGGAGTCAGGCGGTGCAGCTGTGGCAGGAACATACGGCAGCAGTGCTGGGTCGCTGTGTCCTCCCAGGTAACACACGGGGTCAGTTTGTCCCAGTGCTGCTAATTTCACATGGGTCACTCGAAGGTGTGTCTGTACCACTTGTCCACCGTAAAGTTACTCATTTTTCTTTGTAATTAGTAAGTACTTTATAGGGAGGTCCTTTGAAATTATGTACTTAAACTGTTCCTCATAAAACCTTTGTTTCATTCATTTATATTATTGTGGCCTCATAATTTTCAGTTTTATTGAATGGCTCAAAATCTATTATCATATTTTGATGCCCAGTTGTCTTATATTTGGCCAATGGATGCCTCTTCAGGTGGCTTGTGTCCTGTATACATGTCTTCATTATTCTTTTAGCATCTTCTTGCTTTCTGGCACAAGCTGTTCCAGGCTTATCAGATAATATCCCTGTCCCAGCCCAGGAACCAGCTATTTCTACAAGAAACCCTGGTTCCTTCTATTGGACAGTGATGTTTAGAAACTAACATCTAAAGCTTCTGCACAGCAAAGGAAACAATCAGCAAAACTAAAAGGCAACCGACAGAATGGGACAAGATATTTGCAAACGACATATCAGATAAAGGGTTAGTATCCAAAATCTATCAAGAACTTGTCAAACTCAACAGCCAAAAAACAAATAATCCAGTGAAGAAATGGGCAAAAGACATGAATAGACACTTCTCCAAAGAAAGACATCCAGATGGCTGACAGACACATGAAAAAATGCTCACATTACTCATCATCAGGGAAATACAAATCAAAACCACAATGAGATACCACCTCACACCTGTCAGAATGGCTAACATCAACAACTCAGGCAACCACAGATGTTGGCAAGGATGTAGAGGAAGAAGATCTCTTTTGCCCTATTGGTGGGAATGCAAACTGGTGCAGCCACTCTGGAAAACAGTGTGGAGGTTCCTCAAAAAATTAAAAATAGAACTACCCTACAACCCAGAAATTGTACTACTAGGCATTTATCCATGGGATACAGGTGTGCTGTTTCGAAGGGACACATGCACCCCCAGGTTTATAGCAGCACTATCCACAACAGCCAAAGTATGGAAAGAGCCCAAATGTCCATCGATGGATAAATGGATAAAGAAGATGTGGTATATGTATATATATATATATAATGGAGTATTACTCAGCAATCAAAAAGAATGGAATCCTGCCATTTGCAACTACGTGGATGGAACTGGAGGATATTATGCCAAGTGAAATTAGTCAGAGAAAGACAAAAATCATATGACTTCACTCATATGAGGACTTTAAGAGACAAAACAGATGAACATAAGGGAAGGGAAACAAAAATAATATAAAAACAGGGAGGGGTACAAAACATAAGAGACTCTTAAATATGGAGAACAAACAGAGGGTTATCACAGAGGGTGTGAAAGCGGGGATGGGCTAAATGGGTAAGGGGCACTGAGGCATCTACTCCTGAAATCATTGTCGCACTGTATGCTAACTAACTTGGATGTAAATTAAAAAAATAAAATTACTTTTAAGATTTCTTTTTGGGAGAGGGTAAAAGGGCTAGAAATGCAATACTTTTTTCTTTTCCTGGCAGAAGAGAGTTAGATAGATGTCTTTGGATATATCAAGTGAACTACAGGAAATAATTTAACATTGTATACCTTAGTTGCCCAATTGTTAAAAAGAATATATTGCTCGCTACCAAATGACATTACATAAATAACCTGAAGGTCTGTCCATAAAATATGGGGAGTGCATATTGCCACTGAGGGGTTGCTGCTCCCAAGCTGTTGCAGTGAACAGAGCTAGGGAATATGTATGTGTGTACACACACACAGACACACACACCTTTATTTCTATATCTCTATATGTTGAAAATCATGAGTTCAGACTGATACCTTCAAATCCAGTCCCAAACCAAACATTCATTCTAGTTTCTTCCCTTCCTATATTTGTAACTCCCTTCTCTGACAATGGAAACTCTGGCAACTCCCTTAATACGTATTCTGTTTTCTTATTTGATCCACCCTCT